TGGTCCCACTGTGGGTCAAACCACCACAGCCCACAACATCTGGAATTTACCTCCTGACCAAACCACTGTAAAATCCATGTGCATGCTCATACAGCTAGTGGACTTCTTCATAAGCCGTGGTGGTGTCATGTCTGCTTACGTACTTTGTATGTCCCTGATACTGTGTCCCTGGAGAAGAGACTTGGGAGGAAAGCTGCATCTCTGTTGTGGTGGTTGTTTTCCCAAACTGTCAGCAGTGCTTATAAAAGACGAGTAGTGATAAAAACTAACATGTTTTGCCAAGAAGCTCTCTGTTGAATGCAATCTGAGATGAAGACTGTATAGAAAAACAATCCCAGGAAAGCATCTGCAGCAGGTTAGCTGGGTATGGGGAGAGGAGCATCTCAGATTTAAGAGTAGTGTCAATAGAGTATTTTTTTTTTCTCTTTTATTTTTGTCACCTAATTTTTTCCTAAATCACTGTAATTTGCATATTTTGAATGCTGTAAATACAGGCTTCTGGTATGCAGCTGGACTTTAACTTGACTGGTGGGAAAGGTGATGGTTACTGGGCAAGAGGGAGGCACTCCTCACCCAATGATGTGGCCAAGTCACAAAAGGGATGGTGGGTCAGTCCAGCATTTGCACCCTTCCCAGCACGTGCTCCTCAGGTACCGTGTGGGCCAGGATGAGGGCTGGGATCCCTACAGTCAGGTGAGCTTTCTTGGGACATGTAGGTGGGCAGATGTTCAGCTGAAGAGCCGACAACTCTGGGGGTCCTTGGCATTTGTCACTGACTTGGTTAGCAACGTTTGTTCACTAAAATCTTCTGTAACTGATCTTGCAACTTCTGTACCCTACGAGACCTGTGAAGGAGGGAGTGCTGCGCCTCTTTCATCACCATTTCCTATGAGATTCTCTTTCCTGTTAAGCCCAGGGATTCTGAAATTATTCCAGATACTTTTTTTTTCATGTGTACTTGTCTATCGCTGTGCCTTGGAATGCAGATAACTCAGTGGGAGGATTCCAGATGACTTTCAGTGGGAGTGCAGCAGGCCTGTTAATAACTGAAGCTCTGACTCTCTCCTGATTAGTTCTTTATATGCAGATCATAATACTAAAAAGCTGAGGGGGAAGACAAAAGATAGTAATGCTGTAGCTGTTTTTCAGCTAGCTTCCAGGCTGACAGGTTAGACAGCAATGACTGCCTTCATTTGCCCCATCTGTTCTCATCCAGCCTGTCACCGTACCCCTCGTGAGATACTACGCACTGCAAGTCCTTTGTTTTCCAAGATGAAGGAATGAATGTTCTGGAGTGTTACTCATCCGATGTTACATGAGACTGCTGAAATATTGATCAACTGCTTCACCACACAGGCAGCAAATAAAGGAGGAATTTTCAGTTGGAAGTATTTCATGTCGTTGGTATCTGGGAAGGAGCTCTTCTGGTGGTGCTGGCTCTCAGCAACAACTTACTGCAGTAGCTTGTAGAAATGCAAACAGAAGGGATATCATGGAATGGAAAGTGACATTGTCTTTGAGGCAGAGAGAAGCACAGGTATCCTGCGCCTGATGGAGAAACCTCTGGGTTTCAAAGCTGCTTCTTGAGTTCAGTGCTACTTACTGTAAGGAAGGGTAATCTGCACAAAGAGCGGCTAAGAGCATGACAGCAACTCTTCCAAAGCAATGCAAGGCTGAGGTCAAGCAGGGGGAATTCCTAGACAAGAAATCAACTGGTTCAGTTGGAATAAGCCTGGTTCCAATTCCCTTGCTTGGCCTTGCTTAGTTGTGGTCAAATGAGGAGAGCAGATGATAATCATCTGATAATCTTGTTGTTGACGGGCAGGGGAACAGGTGGGAGCCCTGGGCTTGTTCTCTTGCCAATGCCAGCTCCAGGAATGGGGCCAGCATTTGGAAAGAGAAGTAAAATGTCCCACGACCTAAAAAAGGTGCAGTAAGATGGCTGTTCCACTGCTGAGTGTATCAGGAGAGGACCCGGAATAGTCAGTCTGTTTGCTCATATTGCCTATGTTCATGACTCAGACTGACAAATTACCCACCACGAGAGAGAGTAACTTTTTTCAGTATTTAATTAAAGACACAAGGAAACACTTCCCAGGTACAGGATGCAGTTTCTAGTTCATAACAAAAAGTTAACTAGGTCAATTTTCAGCACAGTCTTCGGTTTGCTATGGGAGACCTGGCATGGGGGAGGCTAATGTTCCATACTGCTGCCCTGTATCTACCAGTGTCACCACAGCTGATCCCACCTATTCCAGGATCTTTTGGTCCCAGAGTTCTTGGATTTTCTGCTATGCCACAACTAAGCCAAATTTAAAACTGTGTATGTGTAAACCAGCAATCTTTTCCACAACAGTTAGTAGGGGACTGCTAATGAAGCCACTGTGCTCGATTACTCTCCTAGATACACGTTGTTAACATTTTTCTGTTCATGTTTGTAGGTATTTTTTTCATCAGACCGTAGCAAAACCAGAGCTCCAGGCTGAATCTGTTCTTTCTAGGCTACAGGTTGCTACTGTGTACTGGTATCTGTCACCTCGGTGTTCAGCACTCTGACTACACTTCAGGTTAACACATTGATTAATCAATACATTAGATAAAAGATAAGAGTTTATTTAGGATTGAATATTCATTTGTAAATGGAATATGCTACTTTTTTTCCCAAAGTCCATGACATATTGGCTTTGTTACAGATTTATCCAGAACACCTGAAAAAGTGCTGAACTGTAGTTAGCCAAGACACTGTTTCCATATTACAACTTTATTATTCGACCCTTACTAACTTTCTACAGCCACTTAATTCAAAGTATTTCAATGTCTCTTGCTCATTCCTAACTTTTCCATTATCCTTTTCCCAGGATGTATAATAAATCACTAATTGGGTTCCTACAAATAAGGTACTTTCAGGTCTGCTGTAATGATTTCAGGTGTGCAGTTGCCCTGTATGATATGCTCCACTCTGTCTCCATCATGTAACACAGTAACCTGGTATTGCATTAGAAAAAGCTGCATTCAATTTTCTAATCAATACCTAAAGCACCATAAGTGGCTATATTTTTTTTTCCACATGGGAGAAATAAAGTTACCTAGAAAAATATATTAATTTTACATGGGGTCCTGTATGGTTTTCCCTATGAAAAAGTGACAGTCCTAACTAGGGAGACCCTCTAAAGTTTGTATCAGGTAACTGGTGTCATTGTACCGATTTCTGGGGGCTTTAGATTCACCCCTGGCTTTCACATTATAAAAACCTGCCCTGCCTGGGTTACTGAATGTTACCAACACAGGCTACACAAGTTTTACTTTACTCAGAGCATAAGACAAAACGGAATCCATCACAACGGTGGGGAATAAAGCACACACAACCACCAGCGCTTTTTCCTTCAGCTTCGCTACCATGTAACGTGCCTTGGGTGCAGGAGATGTCAAAGCATCTACCATAACATCTACAACCTCGTTGCCGTTAGTGCTTCCTTCGCTGAGAATGCTGTTGAAAAAGTTTGCCCGCTCTTGAACGTACTCTTCATTGTAAACTGCCTTTTCCTCTTCACTGAGTTCATTCCAAATCTCTTCAGCACTGACCGGTGGCTGGATTTTTGTAGAGCGTGCATAATTTCCTGGCTGAATAATACAGACCTAAAAGCAAGATGTAAAAATGATCAAGATGCAATCAGCCATTCTGAATTCAATTAAATGCTATAGTCAGTAAAACAGATCAAAAGCTTTCTGCAGACAGATTTCTTCCAGAAAATGCTGCTTTGTTGACATTTTAACCTTGAAAACTTTTGACTGAAATCAAATATATTCCCGTGAAACGTTTAAGATTGCCGAGGTGCTTTATTCTGACTTCCTCATTTCGCTCTGATGTTAATGTGCTTGTTTTGACTACTCAGCATACCTCCACAGAATGCAATAGTGCACCTTTGATTTTTATAGAATGCTTAATGCTATAAATGTTTTGACAATACTGAGACAAAGCATTTCAGTATGACTTTGATGTCTCCAAAGTGGAATACTCTGGATTTTTCACTCAGGGGCAAATCTTTCAATTGGTAATTTTTTGCCTCAGTTTGGGACAAAAAGAGTTGTCAAAGAAAATTAGAAGGTCCTGGGGAAAGAATTACTGTTTTCCCCAAGTAGGTGTAATTAAAAGGAAAATAGATGTTGTCAGCCAGGTACAGAGGAGACCAGAGGTCCTGGTCTAGCTCTCATTGAAGTCATAAGCAAATTTCCATAGATTTCTGTGCATGTAGATCTGAATTGCAAACACACAAATCCTTTGCTGCTCTGCCTCTCCTCTTTTCTTTGCATGTGTTGTTGCTGCTGTTCTGCTGGCTTCTGGGGAATTTCAGAGCAGGCTGCACACTCACAGCATGGATTCTTCTCCTCAGTTAGCAGCGGGCTCATTCACACTATTCGTAGGTAGGCAACAAATAGTTTGAAATCTTAGAATTTTCAAACAGTTTGAAAAATTAAAAACTCTATAGCATTTAACTGACCTGATTTCTAAAGACTACAACACAAGGTGAGGAAAAACAGTGCTGAGCTATGTAAGAGACTTGGGGATGGCATTCTCTGGGAAGTCTGTGGTAATATAAAACCTTAATGTCTCTGATCTGCCACCCAGCCCATCTACCAGCAGCCACCACCTGGGTGTCAGTGCGGGATCAGCTCACTGCACACGGGAGGAGCGGAGGCACCGGTGCTATACGTGGGGAGGAGGGGATGTGGGTAAGCGCCAGCAGAGAGACAACATGGGTAACTGGGGGCATCTTATGCTGCCTCAGGTAGAGGAGGAGCCAAGGCGCCGGTGCTATACGTGGGGAGGAGGGGATGCAGGTAAGCACCAGCAGAGAGACAGCGTGCATAACTGGGGGCATCTTATGCTGCCTCAGGTAGGTTTGTCCCAGGGCATCTTTTGGAGCTTTCCCTTTGGGTGCTGTGTTCAAGTGTTCAGTATTAGCCAAACCAATGCCAATCGTAAAGTTCCCACATTTATTTTAAACAAATGAGGTTTGAAAAAGTTCATGTTTCAGAGCTTTTTGGAGTTGGCTAAGAGAAAAGGGGAGATTTTTTTTTCTATAGCATTTAACTGACCTGATTTCTAAAGACTACAACACAAGGTGAGGAAAAACAGTGCTGAGCTATGTAAGAGACTTGGGGATGGCATTCTCTGGGAAGTCTGTGGTAATATAAAACCTTAATGTCTCTGATCTGCCACCCAGCCCATCTACCAGCAGCCACCACCTGGGTGTCAGTGCGGGATCAGCTCACTGCACACGGGAGGAGCGGAGGCACCGGTGCTATACGTGGGGAGGAGGGGATGTGGGTAAGCGCCAGCAGAGAGACAACATGGGTAACTGGGGGCATCTTATGCTGCCTCAGGTAGGTTTGTCCCAGGGCATCTTTTGGAGCTTTCCCTTTGGGTGCTGTGTTCAAGTGTTCAGTATTAGCCAAACCAATGCCAATCGTAAAGTTCCCACATTTATTTTAAACAAATGAGGTTTGAAAAAGTTCATGTTTCAGAGCTTTTTGGAGTTGGCTAAGAGAAAAGGGGAGATTTTTTTTTTCCCCTTCCTTGATTTTCTGTAGCCTTCTTTCTAATAGAAGACACATACTTTGTTTCCTGTAAGCAGCTGACTTGCCAGGCCAGAGTTCAGTGGCACAGAGCCGTAGCTCCATCTGTTCCTTGCCACCTCTGGGTGACTTCCTCCTGAAAGGGCAAAGGGAATGGCAGAGCAGAGGAAGGGAGCACAGGGGCTGTGTATTCTTCAGGCTCTCTGCAGATAGGTTCTGAGGCAGATGCCAGCCAGTGTCTTGCATACAGTGAGAAACAGAAAAATAACTCTCAGAGATATTCCAGAAATGTTTGTCTGGCTCATTGTACTCTTGTGCTGGGGCTATTCTGGGGGTAGGGGAACAGTAAAAATCCCAAATTGACCAGAGTAGCTAACCTGTAAAACTAAGCTCTTCCATTTACTTGAGATTATCCTTAGCTAATCAGTTTAAATACTCATCATGCTGTGTGGTATTAGGATGTGTAAAATCACATGCATTTTATACCATTTTATATTTACCTGAGAGGGGTCGTTACTGGATGCACAGCTGTAATTACTTCCAACACAAAGCTTATGAACAATGCTGTAAATCTCTGTATATAAAATACACCAATGTAAATCCTCTAGGGAAGACTTTCAGTGTTTGAGAAGAGTGTTTCAGCAGTGGAATGACTCCAGTGAAAAAGCCTAGTGAAGCTACTTAGTGATCTAAGCTTCAGGTTTGACTATCAGTGTTGCTTAAACAGGGCACTAAGAACACTCTTAGAGCCTCTTAGGTTAAGAGAATAAAAACGTAATTACTCTGCATGATGCCGCCTCTTGCAGTGTAGCTGTTCCCACAAAAAGGAAGGAGTTTTTAAGCACTGATGGGGGAGAAGAAAGAACCCCTCAGGTAGGTGACAAGCCTTCCTTCTGGCTGCACAGCACTCACGTCTGGGCTCTCTGCTCCCACAGCCACCCCACAGAAAGTTTGTTAGTTGGTACTGTTAATGAGCTCTTCCCAGGCAAGCCTGGCTCAGAAGGTTTCTCCACTGTAGAGGATGGGTGGAAGCCCAAGTATTGGCACAGAGAGAAGGTTATGCTATGCCTTCTCAGAACTGCAAGCATCCGCTCTTCTCAGTGATTTCCAGCTCACTGATTAGCCATAAAGGAACCTGCACCCATGGATTCAGCTCTGATCTTTATCTTTCTCATTGGGATGCATGGAGCTTACTTTGCACAAGATCAGATGTTACTTTCCATATGCTTGTTCTTGTTCTCTTGGCCAAAACTGCCACTCCTCTGCCACTGTCTGGTATTCTTTGTGCAAGTCGCTTTGCCTTTTTCCCCACAAAAAGATGCTTTTCAGCTCTGTAGAAAGTTTCCGGAGTGAAATTTCTCTCTTTCTCATATGAAAATCTACTTCAGAAATAGCAGAGAGTTTCACACAACAGCTACTTGTTACATCACTTACCCGGACACCAAACTTCTTCATTTCCAGTCTTAGAGCATCACAAAATTTTTCAATAGCTGCCTTGGTCATAGAATAAATACCATTTCCCAGAGCAACATAGGCAATAATGCTGGACATGAAAACAATGCGTCCTGGAAAGAAAATAGTGGAAATAACATAACTTCACTCTCAGTCTTTAACATGGAGTTGATTTACCTGAGTCTTCTGAACTGCTATAACGTGGTATTTAGCATGATGCTGTTTTACTACATAGCATGCCAAAGCTGGGCTGTGAAATTGTGCAGTCCCAGCACAGAAATGCACTCAGTTCTGTTAAGCAGGGAACTTCACACAAAAATCTTCCCTCTAGTGACAGATCCTGGACTAGACAAAGTGTAACACATTCCCAACGTGCTGCTTATTCCTTCTGAGTCTGAGACAGCATGAAATAGATGGAAACAAAGCAGTCCCCTAAAATCTTGAGACTGAATAATAGTAATAAAAGACTATGCTGGTAACAGGAGAAGGACTGCAGAGGTGAGAAGCAGATGATTCTCCCTATGGTGGATATATAACTACCAATACCATTTTTTCTGTGCTAATGATGTCTCTGCACTGACCTGGATTACAACCGTGCCATAAAGTCAAAATCAGACTGTAGAGTGATAAGCTTCACCAGAGAAAGGTGACTTGACAAAATGTGTGCAGCCTTACACTGCCTTGCTGTGAATTCCCTCATCTGTGCTGGTTTTTTTCCCCTTTGTAGCTCTTGCCAAGTGCAGGTACACACTAAATAGATTTCTGATTTGAGGCACTAGGCTGTGGTTCATTTCTGTTGTTTACTTGTAAACTTCTATCACAGAGTCATACCATAGAGTAAGAAATGTGTGATGGGCATATATAAATACCAGAGGTGAGAAAGAAGACGGCCTCATTGCCAACAATACAGAGAAGACAGTTGCATTCCTATTGCTGCCACAGATGCAGATGACATCTGGGCCCCAGACCTGACCAAACAGTATTGGCTTGTGGGATATCAAAAGGGTATCACGGGAATGCTGTGAAGTCTGTCATTCTGAATTAGGTTCCCTGTCTTCCTACATAACATCTGGAATAAATCTTATACACAATAACAAAACAACTACCAGCTTGCTGATCAGCTGGCATGGCTATCTAGAAAAGTTATGGGGAAACGTTGCTCCTTTCAAGGTAGGATGCTTAATTCTAGGCTAGAGGGAAATATCTTCCTTTACAACTTGAAGTTTTTCTTGGAACAGATGCTCATCCTAAAATGGCAACCAGCCCCTTCCTTCAGAACATCACTACTGGGTAAGTGATGGTAGGATGACCTCTGCCTCCTTCATCCAGTAGCTAAGTGATTTGGGGCACACACCCATGATGTGGGACACGTCATTTAGCTTCTCTCGTTGCCTAAGGTAACTGAAACCCAGCTTTCCCAGAGAATGCTCTAACATCCATAATTCAAGCTTTTCATTTGGGGAGGTCACTTGCTGCCCCAAAAAACATGAGCTTTAGCTTTCCTGGCTGTTCCTGCAAGTAAGGAGATAGGAAATCTAGGATTCCTCCTAGAAATGCCCTGGCCTCCTCTCCTACATAGATGGGACTTGAAAATGGAGTGTGGGCAGTTAATAAAGGCAGCATTGACAGCCAGGAGTGAGATGCAGAGTGCTCCTTTGAGCTACAGTACTATGTATGTGCAGCCATCCAGACCCAAATCTTCTAAAAGTTTATGCTGTGCTTAATATCTTACACACAAGTAGTCCCTTTCACTTCAAAGCAACCCCTTGCAATTCATGAAGTCAGAAAAATGCCTCTGGTGGATCAGCATCACAAAGTTTTAGCAGTAAGTAGGACATCACAGAAAAGAAGTGATGTCTCCTCGTGTAATGGCCACGTAGGGCACTCACTGGGTATATGCAACAGCACATTGTTTTACAACAACACATCCAGCTTGCAGTATTTAAAGGTTTTGGGGTTTTTTTGTTTTTGGGGTTTTTTTTTTTTGCATCAGAATATAATCAACCAAAGGCAACCAAGCAGAAAGAGGCAGAGTAGCCAGAAAGGAGATGCTTTTATCTTACCAACATTTTGTGTAACAGTGGCATCTGGAGCTTCCAGATGAAACCTAGCCCTTACTGTGCTTGATGCTCTCTACACACAGAACAAATCCTTACCTTAAAAGAGCTTACAACTTAAACAGACAAGCTAAGCAAATGGGGCAGAAAGGAAAAGGGTATCTTTCTTTCCAAATACAGATGGGGAGCAGTAGGGAACAAACTGCAAAGCAACTGAGACACGCTGCAATGCTGTAGAGGGCTGTTTCAACCATTTCTTCTCAGAAGATAGGGTAAAGCCCACACATACGGAGGTCCATGCAAATACATTTATCCCATTTGATACCCATGCATCTCTGTACAGCACTCTTTCACATACTTGAAGTTTCCTGACAAGGTCATAGAGAGGATTTTGCTAGGCCTGGAACTGGAAAGTAGATGTCTCTAGTTCACCTCTGTAGGGTCATCCTTCCTCTCCTAATAGCCAAATGGTAAAATAGTAAAGCCTAAATAATAAAGTCAAGCAGAAGTTTATCGGATCTTTGTGTTTTCCTATTGTCAATACTTAACAAAGACTTGCTTGGGCTGAATGATCTACTATAAGCATTTTTTCTCTTTTTTTTTGAGTCAAACTCTGAGATAATTCATTATTTGTAAATACTTTTTTCTAAGTATTGTAAAGACAAAATCTTTTAAGAGTATTTTTTCCCCTTACGACTTTACCCTCTTTTCAGGATCAAGTTGCTCTTTCAGGCCACAAAGAAGGAGGCTGTCATTTCAGTTCAATGAGAGAAAATTAAGGCTTCTTTTATAGATGGTACATTACCCTGATTATAGTAAGCTAATTATTCTACAACTCTAAATAATAGTGGATTAGCATTACCCTTGTATTTCCTTAGAAGGGGAAGAAATGCCAGGGTTGTCCTGATGCTCCCAAGGAGATTCACATCTGCAAATTTTTCATATTTCTCCATAGACAGCCACCCTGTCTCGCCAAATGTTGATATTCCTGCATTGTTGACAAGCCCCCAAAAACCTATGGAAGAGAAATGTCTCAACAAGTATTTTTCACTGAAAAACAAGCACCATTAGGCAACAAAACAACACCCTTGATTTGAACCCTTGGAATCATAGAATCATAGACTGTTTTGGGTTGGAAGGGACCTTAAAGCTCATCCAGTTCCACCCCCCCTGCCATCAGCAGGGACACCTTCCACTAGACCAGGTTGCTCAAAGCCTCATCCAACCTGGCCTTGAACATTTCCAGGGAGGAGCAGCCACAACTTCTCTGGGCAACCTGTTCCAGCAAACAACTTTTTAGCTGTGTTATCTTTCTTGTCTTTTCTAATGATAAGTGCAGGTGTATTTTGTTTAATGAAGGAATGTAATTGTGGCCATTATCTGGACTATAGAAGTCTCAGTGCCATTTAATGATCACTCACTTTGTAGTTGCCTTAAGTTATTTCTGAATAACACGATATGGGAGATTATATATTACTGCCAATGTGGTGTACCATGGTATTTTAATTACTTTAATCCCACTGTGTGCTATGAGCAGCTTTGTGAAAATTACATTAAGCAGTCTAAAGGCTAAGGGGTAATATTTTCAAAGTGCCTAACTAATTTAGGAGCCTAAGTCTTGGCTCCTTTTCCAGGATTTTGACCTTCAATTCCTTCTGAAATCAGACAGAACCAGGTACGTGGGTGCAGCATTGAGTAAAGTAGCCAAGTAAGGTCTGTGAGTACGGTATTTTTTTTTATTTTGTAGTCTTGGACAACTCTATTCCCCACATAACAACAGGTTTTAGTGCTAAGAAGCCCAGCCCCCTGAAATACAAGAAGATTCCAATGTTTACAAGTGGAAATTTCTTGGCAGCAAAGCTTACTGTGGCACAACTCTCTTCCAGAAAGTGCAAGCCCTTTAGCCCAGAGCCACAGAACACTTTGTGTGAGCACTGCACAGCGCTAATAACCTCAGCCGCTGGAAATGCTTCTTCATTGACGTGTAGAGCGCTCACAGTTTGGAGCAGACGTGCTGACTAAACACTGATGAAGCCATGCTGACTTGCTCTTGCCTTCAGAGCACATATCTGTAGACACATGGTAAAGCAGTGAATGACATGATGCTTTCGAAAACACTCCTGTTTCTCTCCTCAAATCCTGACTGAGGGTATTTCCAGGGTGACCAGCAGTGTAACTAAGAAATACACAGGGTAGCCTGACTTGCACTGAAATAGCGAACTTTGCAGCTTGTCTCTGCGAGCCTTGACAATTTTGCTTATGCTTTTTTTTTTTTTTTAAGAATTCTTCTAGGTGTCTGAGGCAAATGATTGTTTAGCCATGCCTTCTACAGGATCTCCAAGCCTAGGTTTCTGGTGAGGCAGAGCGGTTAACAGTGCCTCTCTTCCTTCTTCTGGACACAGGGTCGGGGACACGTGTGTGATGCTGACCCAACTGTAGCCTCCTGTACCTGTGGTGGCAGAAATGTTCTCAGGGCACCTATGGCCACCCTGGTGAAGGTGCTGCAGAAACCCTTGGGCTGAACTCTTTTATCTTCTCCAACAAAGCTACTGCGATGATTTTATGGTACCTCGATCCTTCTAGAGCCCTGCCAAGACCTGCTGATACAGAACTCCATTAACAACAATAGTTAAAGTAGAAACAGACAATTTTTAAATGATTTTGCAAAGCAGACCTCTGTAAGCTTTCCTAACATACATACACTACTTGCATTATGTAATTAAATTGGTGTTTAAACAGAGAAAGAAACAACGTTCTTTCAGTGAATGTCTCATTTGCAGAGCAAAACACTCAAACTCGGGAATTTACCATGCAGAACTTAGATAACTCTGTCCTCCAAAGAGAATAAATCATTATTCAGAAGTCAGCAATCCTTGACACTGGACCTCTCTTAAAACTTTACATACAGCCTGACTGCTGTCCTACTACTGCAACAGTTTCCTGTGTACTTGCCTCTTCTCCACTGCCCTAAATGTTAGCGGACAGATGAGAGGAAATGGACCAAAAAACTGGCCACTGGAATTGGGCACCCTAGACTTTCTTATTCCTCCTGCCCTGTTGTTCCAGACCTTTCCACCATTCTGTGGCTTTATTTCTCCTTCTTAAAATGGAACTACCTTCATGGGACTGACCTCCTTGTAAAAGGCTTCAAGATCAATGGATTAGAGTCCTCTGTAAAAGCTAATTATCCATATTTCTGTACTGGCACATGATCTGATCTACAGATGGGCTGAGTAGCTACACACCCCATCTGTTTCTACTTAAGGCTGGAGGTCTCTGTACTCAGGTTTATTTTTACATAACCTAACTAACAGAACGCAAACTCAAGCCTGGCATCACTGTAAAAGCTCTTCCCTGATCTCCTCAGCTTTACCTTTTCTACTAAAAAAAAAAAAGTCATTTTGCTTGTGCCCCTGCATACTGCAGAGCGCAGCAAGAACACCCTGGAATTCATCAGGATTTCAGAAATACAGCCAATAAACTTCAGACAATTGATTTTCTTCTTCTTTCTCTAAACTGTGAAACACAGAATTGAGCTTGGTATATTTGTTTTCTCTCCAGCCTTTTGCCAGCTTTCCCTCATGCATTTCAAAGATGCCAGGTGATTAGTGGTGAGGCCAGCCTGGTGTATAAGCAGAGCTCACCGAATAATGGCTCCTTCTTTCTGTGCAGTGGCCAAATCAAAAGTCAAGAGGAGAAACACTGGCTTGAGTTAAACTGAAACAGACTTTTCTGAAGAGAAGATTAAGTAACACATAAAAAGAAATTTTGCTCAGGGTCAGCTCAAAACATTTTGTTTGCCCTCAAGCAAAACATATTATTTCTCAGAACATTTTGGCATTCCCAAATAGGAAATGTTCACATATTTTCAACAAATTTTCCTGCCACTTTTTGTTCAGTTGAGTCCATTTGCAAAATTCTACCCAAATAACGAACAGGTCATTATTCCCTTATGACACTTTTAAAAAAAACTTCCTACCTCCTGAGAAACAACCTGCCTAGCTATGTACTCAGGGTACTTGAAACATTTGGAGTGAAAATTAATGCTATAAACCTGCATACAAAATATTTATTTATTCTTAGGTAACCTAAGAAATACAGTCCTGAGGTAAGAAATCCAGAAGGACAAGGCACAAGTAAGAATCAAACAGCCGAAGGAGAGAGACATCGCATTTCCTCAGAATGTCTGTGCAGAGATACATTAGGAAAAAGCAGCTGATGTTTGATCTGGAAAGGAAAAATTACTCAGACTGTCAAAACAGAACTCAGCCCCAGCACAGTTTAGGAAGAATGGTGTTAAGACTACAGCAGATGGGGAATAAATAAACTGGAAAGCAGAACTGGACGTCAAAGAGATTTTCCCTGATGTCTGTGTTGGGACAATGGATCCTGAGGACAAAGATTAAGAGATATAGCAGGGGATCTAAAGAATTACTTTAGGAAACCTAACTTAAGATTAGTGAGGCTTTCAGGAGAAGAACACTAGCTCTCATATAAACTCCCAGATAATTTCTACTTCAAGACATGTTGACCAAAAGGCATATATCCAAAGTCCTTATTTGGGCCCAAAAGATGCCTGATGTTTTCCAGAAACTCTTTTAAAAAAGTCCTTTTCCTATTCAAGTCAATCAAGCTGTGTGCTTGCAGAACCTTTAGAAAATCAGGCCATTTCTATGTAGGTGCCTAAACACAGATAGTACCTGAATTTGGACAGATTTTCTAAACTCAAACATTTATACTTGGTATCACTGATCTTTGGAGTTTCTCATCTAAACCTGAGCCCGTGCAAAAATGACAGGCTCTTTCCGGAATGATTCCAATCCTGTACTAAAGGAAACTAGGAGAGTGTGATTTGCCATATTCCTGTTGAAAAAATTAGGAGAGGGAACCAAACAATTTGTCTGTGGCAGGGTGTCTGTGGTAACAGGCCAGCTGAGACTCCTGAGTTTCAGAAACATACCATCCTTTGCTTGGAACAGTATGCTCTGGTTGTCTTCATGGCAAGGATGAGTCTATTTGTATATAAAATCTGGGCTAAATATGGTACCATGGGCCCACTGGATGGATGATGTGAGTAGGTGTGTTGGTTTTGGGGGGGGGTGGATTTTTTTGGTAGTGGGGGAAGGGCCACCT